TATAAGAGACAGTATATATACAACACTGTTTTCATAATATCACATGAAGTACGACAATCATTATATCTTAATAAAGTGTTTTGTATCTAAGTCTGCTCACCAACACTGTGTATAATATAATCAACCGTAGCGTTGATCTAATGTACAGTCTGTTCATACTATCAGGGTTTTAACGAACACTTGTGATTTTTCTTAAGCTCTGTCCACACTATCAAATTTGATGCGACAATAAATGTAATATCCCCATATTAGGGTGTAAGATGACGTCATCATGCCCATGGCCACATAACACAAATTTGTCGCATAAAATTTGATAGTTTGGGTGTACCTTTCAAATATGAGTGTGATCATCTTGCCCATGTATAGGTGAATCGCAGATAGTTATCGAACATTTTGACTGGCTTATTATTAATTTATCCTACTATTCATGGTAAAAATAGCATAGGCCTAAGCATCGTGAACTATTATTTGATAACAGCGCGCCACCTCGCTAACTTGGTGCTCGCCAGAGCCATGTAGACGCAGTAAACGCTACGTATCGTGTACGCAAGACTCCCAAGTCGACTTAAGTGTGAACCAAAACGCAAAACGGCTTGCTGTTACACCAATTCTCATGCGTTTGGAGTATGCTTTACACAATATCAATTAACTGTGATATGCCCATATTTGGGTTTAATATGACATCATGATGCCCATATATAAACACATCACATAAATATGTCATCAAATTTGATAGTGTGGAGAGAGCTTTAAACTTGTATGCGGTTGATGGCACTTAAGCTTATCCTTAAGCTTAATTTAAGGCAAACGCAAAAACACAAAAATATAACGCAAACTGAAACAGTTTTTCTTTCATTCCTATCTTGCAAGCAGAGTTTCGCTAAACTTACAGTCGCGTCGGTCAACTTTTGTAAACCCGTTGCATTTGCACTAACGCGTCTAATTATCTTACGGTTCATACTAAAAATCAACTGTGGTTACTGGCATGGCATTGTGACTACATTACTGTAAGTGTGAACGAAGTTCTATCTCTACGCGAATGTGGCCTATCAGCCGTTTAATTCCACGTTGATTGCATACGCTGGCATATTAAGATCCATAGATAAAGATAAATTATTATTGTGAATTTCAAGGTAAGATAATGGTGCGTAGAGGATGAATTTCTGGGTATTGATAAAATTCCAAGTTGATTTGACGGGTAATAAATAATAATAATTGATGGACTTAGTGGAGTGTTACGTAGCCTACAACGTGTGTAACTAATCGACACATGTAATTACATCCTGTGATTCGAGAGTAAAGAATAATAGTTCAATTCAAACTAATTTGTGATAACCACGACAATGATGATGATAATCGTATTGAACTTCAGATTCAGCTGGATCCCACAAGTCAAATATGTCCTATAAACATTGTGTTCGTTTCTATGGGATTCAGAATATGCGTGAATAAAGTTATAGTGGTTTTAAGGTGCATTCACACCGAATTTTTTTCCCGAAGTTTTTATTGACGATCCGTTGACTGTCACCGACATACAGCTGACTGCGTCACTGATCTCTACAGTATTATTATACTAGAGATCAGCAGACGGCGTCACTGATCTCTACAGTACTATTATAGTAGAGATCAGTGGACGGCGTCGCGTTGTCCAACGCTCACAAGGAGCGGAGCTGGATTTGTCGACCGACGGTCGTACGACGTATAGAGTGCCTGGCTTTATGCTTTACATGGGAAAGGTGAGGTATCTGCGGTGATTACGATAAAAATACGGACAAGAACGAATAATCTTTTCCAGACAACGAATGTACTAACATAACGTGTGGTTTAAAAGACTAAGACACATTTTGAATTCGATTACATCTATAAATAGGTGTATTTTTTCAGCAGCGGATGCTAGTTACGAAACAGATGGTATGAAATTCAGATTGGAGTCGGATCCATATGACAGTCGATGGTAGTCCAAATTTTCCCTTTGCCCACTCTTAAAATCATGACTACTTCTTTTCTGTAATGTCAATATACATAAACGTACCTGGTAAAATAAAATAGAATTCAAAAAAGAAATTGTCATCAATTAACGTCATATTGAAGGCCATTCTAGACAAAATCTTTCTTTCATTTTATTTCAGTGTCACAAAAGGTTTATCATCAATTAACGTCGTGGGAAGGTCATTGACTAAGCAATAAAACATTGACTTATTATAACTGTATCATTTCTACGTACAATCATAGTACGTGCGTAGGCCTATAGTTCGGTGATGAGTTCAAAGAATTTCACGAATAGCACACAGGCCATCGATACAAATTAACAAATATTGGCACACCCACATGTATTTGTTGAGAATTCAAATCCGTTTAAAGCATAGGAATTCTTCACAAACTTGCGCATGCGTAGTTAGATAACACTAGTCCTTGATACATGGCAAATAACAGGGAACAATATTATACGCCCTCTACTTATAAACATTCGACGGCATGATGAGATCTCCGAAAATATGTTTTTTTAATAAATCAATCTTGGTATAATAGAGATAAACTCTAAAAGTCTTGCGGTAATACTATCGTCTTGCGGTAATAATCTGCGAGTGTGAACAAATACGTGCCCCCAACCGGGATTTGAACCCGGAAGCTTCTGCTGTCTATGCAAGCGCCTTAGCCAATTAGGCCATTGAGGCTTGATTGGAAATTTAAATCCGATTAAAGCGTCAAATTCTTCACAATCATGCGCATGTGTAGTTAAACAACACTAGTCCTTGATGAATAGCAAATAACAATTAAAGATCAATATGATACGCCCTCTTCTTATAAGCATTTATAAATGCTTATATATATATATATATAAATATATATATATAGGCCTATATATTATGCAATATATAATGATTTTGGTTGTATAAATATCTAAAAGATAATACTGTACACTGAAACGCCCAAGGCTTAAATGTCGTTGAAATAGGAAAAAAAAAACCTAAGAGACGTGATTTACTTGAATGCAACTCAAGGTCGATTGAAAAATCATTCGATATAAGTTTTAATAGTCTTTGATAATAATGTTTTAATAATAATGTATTCATAATAAGCATTGATCTGAAAATGGTTATGGTTTCCGCTAAGTGCCATCTATTAGGCCTAATCCCAATTTGTGATGTAATACTGTATGTTTACCTATAATATACTTCATTTTAAATTATTCAATATCTAAATTCTGAGCAGTGAGAATTAAACGACGGTATGTAAGCTTAAACGTGAAAGGATATGTAATATTGTGTGATAAGATATCAGCTCCAATCGAAGACACTATTTGTTAAAAATCGGCAGTACATTTAATTTGCCGAGTAGTTTTACCTTGTGATAGAAAAGTGTTTTTGCTCTCTTTTTGCTAAAGTGGATCTCGAATACAGCCGTATCGTTTATGGAGTTATGCTATTTTTCAAAATATTATGTTATGATATGATATAACGTGAATATAATGTATCATAATGTATTTTAATAATGTGATATGATAAGGCCTAGTATAACATAATACTGTTGACGTATGTGCACTATCACTGAGCAGGGTGTATTCTATTACCATATTATGTAATTAATGATATATAATATAAATTGGGATAAAGTAACTTGTCGCAGGTGCAACTAAAATTAAATAGGCATATAGACATAATATGTTTTGTTAACTGTCGCCCTTCTTCCTGTCTCTTATACACATCTAGATGTGTATAAGAGACAGCATATATATACATACATACACCCCTATGTTTACGCACACCCATAAGTATTATAGATATACGTAGTGCTACTACAGTAGGCAGTGAATTCATCAATATGCGTACAGCACATCCTGCGTTCACAATTTATTTGGGGAGTCGTTCATCTCATGCGTTCACACGGTGCCATGGGAGAACTTCTACCTACAGTAATAATAAGATGATCTGTCGATACGCCACAGCGAACACCTGCTCTTCGTCACACTGATGAATAAAATACAGCGTAGAGGCGATAAGTGAAAACTTGCAAAATCTGCAACAATGCCGTAACGCATCAATTATTATAATATAGCTATTTATTTAGTCAGTCATGTCACTAAAGTAGAACAAAAACATTTTACTGCCTCAATGTATTAATGCAAAACACGCATTAACATGCCAATGTCCTTACCAAAGTATCCAATGCCGATGCTACGATGTTTCCTTCCTGTCTAACAAAGTAAGAATACAATAATATATTAATAATAAATCTGAATTGTAAATATCGCCGGATGTCAGTAACCTCGAGGCTCCTAGCATCAGAGAAAATGTTAAATAATAACATAAATAATAAGAAAAAAAATAATATGATAACAAAAACAATACAACTAACAATAAAAAATGTTATTTAATTAAAAACATTAAATATTTATTAATTATTATTTTCATAAATATCATAACTAAAGTTACTCTGTTTGTACTATAGTTAATTAAATTTTAATGTGGATTGATAACATAAAGTTCTTTGAACTTACGTTTAATCTCATCTGTACATGGAGTTTCTGTAATATTACTTATGTATTACCGTAATTCATAGTTAATGCATTTTATATAGTTCATTTTACTTTTATATCTCACGATGTCATAATTATATTTATTTTACAATAAGGTTGTTAATGTTAGTTTTATGATTTTCTTTATTGTATTCAGAAATTGTATTGTGTGAAAACTCCAATAAAACAAAGATATCACTCCACAATGTATCTCGGTATTAGTTTTTAATGCATTTTAATCCCCTCCCCCGCACCGTAAGCTCGATTTTCTTCTCAAAACGAAATGTTTACTCAATTACCATTAACTTAATCAGCCTTTTAAAACCAATTTTGAACAGTAAATGTTTAAACATTTTGAATTGTAAATTTAATTTTTCACATTTCCTACTGTTATCGAAAGCTAAACGTTCGGTCTTGCAAAAGTTATAGAAAGTGTGCTTTGCAATTATAATTAGTCCTACACTATTGCAGTTCTGCAGTTAGGCTAGTAAAGCTTTTCATTTCTAAATGCTTTATTAGTGTATATTGCAATTGTTCACCCAAGTCATAAAGCCCGCCCGCATACGAATGAATTCAGGAAATAGTTAATATAAATGGTTTATTCATCCAGGAAATAGTTAATATTGTTTAAAAATATATAAACCGAATATTGGAACTTGTATTAAGGTAGAGTGGCGTTTCGTCCAGCTCTGATGAACTTCTTCAGACATCAGACCCATTCGATTAGTCACGAGTGGATGTCAAGTTGCGAGGAATGTTGCGATTAGGATAGTTTGAACTGAAACAATGATGTTTCCGATAGAAAATGATGATTTCGTTTTGATGGAAAATGATCATTCTCTTTCCAGCTATCGGGGAATTTGAACAGGTGTGCTGCATAACATTCTCCACCACTTGACATCCATTCGTGATCAATACAATGGGTCAGTTGGGGGGTCAGTTGTCTGAATATGTCAAGTGAAGCTGGACGAAACGTTACTCAATGTTAATAGTATAGTTCTAGTATTCGATATAATATATTATCAGCATATGAGAGCTCAAAATAATCGTTATCGGATTGCTCTTGAATAAAGAATTGTCTCATACACCTTGAATACCAAGTATCGGAGATAGAAACTTTGGCATATCCTTTAGAATGTGTGTCTTTTCATGCAGATTGTTTTTCTATGTAACACCAACTTGTGATAATTTTGTTGGAGGTTAAAAATAACCAATGTTTTTGAATCTTGGAGCTTTTACAGTACATCATATTAGGTGATAAATAAGATCAGTTGTAAAATTAATTATAACATTTGAATATCAGAAACATATTGAAGTAACCAGAGGCTGTTCCTTTTAAAATAAAATTAACGAGAAAATAAACGCGTATACGAACTTAGTGGTGGCCGTGGGTTAGACTCATGTGTCCTATTTAACATTTTTGCTAAAAGCTAGATGAAATGAGAAAGACATCAAATATAACATTAGCAATGATTACAGACTATGTTAACTCAACAGTATAAATACTACCGTACTTGTTAATTATGTGCAGAAGCTGAGTTTATATTAGCTTTAAGTAAGGTTGTGGGCAAAGTATCTAAACCCAGAAAACTTGATGTTGTTTTACTGACAAACAGTGGATAGGCTCTATACTATATTCATGAGTAAAGTATCTTTCACATAATTCGTGTTAATAATGAATGCTTAGTAAAAACGAATGACTTGCACATTTGTAGTAGAGCGTGAATTTCGCTGAGGATCAATACTGCTAGTCGCAAGAGTATCATTCACTCATTTTGTCATAAGCAGGCAGAATACCGTACACATTACTTTCATAACTATTAATTAAATTGATGAGCAAAATGAGCTTTCAATGATCTTAGGCCTATATATTGATTGACTTATTATCAGAATGGTGCTTTGTTTCAAAATGATGTTCTAATGTCTAATATAGATAAATTTGTCCACCACAAACTTTTCATTTCCTTTCATAGTGACGTTTTAATTGTTGCTTACCCAAGGATCTTGGTATTGACAATTGGTGCACGTGTGGGTCAAGATTTCTCTGAGAATTGAAAATTAGAATTGTACTCTATTGATTGATTAGAATATTCAGTTTAATTGGGTGGATTTTTTAAGCAAAGTTGATGCAAGAGATTCAGCAAGCAATTACAAAACGGATTCCCCAACGTCACATTTTTTAACCCAATGGAACTGGGACGCTTAACATTGGAATTGTCGTTGACCGCTGTATCAAATTAGGAACAAGATTATGGTAGTATGTAGTGATAATTTTGAGAATGCTGCATGTACTTCTTGGCATAATGAGTGTATGCCCATACATAGGTTTTTGATTAATGGCAATATTGCATCTCTATCGAGACAAAACTTTATTTCATCAGTAACTATCATACACTTTCAGAGTTGCACAGAGAGACCATGAAAAATACATCATGTAGAGAGTGATTTTATGACAGTCGTTTTCAGTATTTGAAACGTGAACATCATACTTGAATGTAACATGAATGCATTCAAACAACTATAATGACGATAGTTAATTCTGCCTCAACTTAACCAGACCTCACGAGGATGTCAACACCTGGACTGCAACGATAGCTGTGATTTATTTCAAAATTAGGTTTGTAATGTGAGCAGAAGCCCTATATTTCGATTTTTGACAGTTAGGCACTGTGATACCTGATCTTTGATGAGAATATGTAAGCATTTAACATAACTTGTATTGCAACTTACCAACAAAAAACGACCGTTCACTGGAATTATGTTGGATTCTAACTCACAGACTCGCAGGCATAACAAAATATTCGGGTGAAACCGACTTCACAATCGTCTGCAAAAGGCTCAAAAAGGAATATAACAAACGCGGTATTTATGAAGTGCTACCGTGGCTGCGTGCACATAATGTTTACGCCAAAACAACCTTTATTATTTTTTTAATGATAAAGTGTGCAGGGATATATTGATCTTAAATTTTTTTAAATATGCCATCTGCACATTACTTCATCTACTCTAGAGACACGTATTTTATATGTCAGTTACATGGTATTTAATGGTCTTCCAAACTATGCATAATTGAATACACGGATTTGCAGACCGACGCTAGTGCACGGGTTGAACCGACGTCCACAGCGGAACAGCCTACTTTTTTGTGATACCTTAAGCTTTACTTTAAAGAAATACTCCGCTTCTTATTCAGATACCGATACTGATTATATTAAGATTCATATTGGAAGGAAAAGAGACCTGTCAGTATTTAGAATATGAAAGCCCGTCTAACATCGACCGTCGAATGATTATAATAGGCCAATAATAGGCCTATGTTATTTATTATTATATTACTAATATTTAATATATATATTATATTATACTCTAGATAATGTAGAAGGGAGATGCGGGTAAAGACACAAAATCCGCTGTAAGTAATATATATTCTCGCTGATGAAGGCCACAGGAGTGGCAGAAATATCCGAGTTACTAATAAATCAGTGTTCTTAAAGTCTACTATTGAAGTTGCTTCATTTATATATATATTATATATATATATATATATATATATATATATATATTCCTACATTAAATAATAATAATAATAATAATAATAATGTCAATATATACACTATAGGCTAGTATCCACGATATTGCTTCACAGCATTAAAAACTTTCTCGAAAAAGACACTTGACTAAGGACAATGTGAACATTGGATAATGGAAGGCAAAGTTAATGATGGAGTCTTCTACAAATTATATGTCTAATGTAGCATGAAGGACGACAATTTTTAAGTTTGCAGCGAATTACAATCAATTCTCGTCAAAAGCAGGTGGCCTAACATGATCACCTGATCTTATTTTCTCGCACACAAAGTAGATTACTTAACAATTAGGAAAGATGACTGGTGTGGTCGAAATGAAGACAACTATATGGAAGGCATTGTTTTTAAAGGTGGTGGTTTGCTTCAATGTTGTTTTTGAGGCGATTGCTGACCTTAAATTTATGTGCGTTTTTCTGCGTACCGTAAGCCTAATTGTCTATTGGTAGTACACTTGTATTAAAGTGCAAATTACATTCGTATATATGAGAAACACCTTTCAAAAAATAAAAATCGTAATATCTGCTAAAAGATCTAAGTATGCCTTGAATTCACCTATTTTCGAACTCAATGTTAAAAATAAAGCATAGGGCCTTCATCTATATTATCAAATGCATTATTATATAAGGATAAACATTAACATATATTAACATATATATTTCATCTCTCTAAATATATATGTTAAATATTTATGAATGTCTATTCTTAGTATCTAATAGTTTAGGCCTATATGAAATGTACATCTATTATGCTGTTTGCATAGATATACATTTATATGTTTGTTTGTTATATATATATCAGAGTAACAAC